GGTTCTATTTTAGGCCTCGCATTAATCCACACCATCAAAATTATTCTGATTTTTTGATCTATTATTCACGGCTCGGATTTAATGTTAGACACGTACGTATATAAGCATGTAATCCCATTTGATGGGAGTCAATATTATTGGAGATTGTGTTGAAAACAAAGGTAGATTGCAAATCCAAAGCTGACTGTTAGTATCATCAATTGGGATGTGACACGCGTAAGGATGCACGTCTCTTGCAAGGCTAGGACGTGGCGGAGAAAACATGCTAGGCATAATACATAAATTGATGTATGCATACATCCATATGAGTGTTCTAATATGTCAAAGACAACCATGACATCAATTAGAGTATTTAAAGAAATCATTGGGGAATGAACTTAGGAGACTACTAAAACCTTTGTCTCATGTGCACACGTCTCGTTCTCATTTCATTAAAGAAAATCTCATTCTTCCTCTGATGTCCGCATCTCGATCTAATTTCATTAAAAAAATCTCATTCTCTGAGAGAAAAAACTTGCATTCCGCATGCTCACGTAAGAACGCAATTTATTCATTTGATGAAAGTCCATATTGTCGGAGATTGTGTCGTATATGGAAGTACATTGCAAATCTAAAGTTGACCGATAGTATCTTCAATAGGGATGTGACTTCTCTTGTAAGGCTAGGACATGGTAGGGAAAACGTAGTAGGCGTAATGTATACACTGGTTTATGCATACAAACCTATGAGTGTAGTAGTATATCGAAAGACAACCATGTCATCAATTAGAGTATATAGAGAAAATTGATCTGAACTTTAAGACATCCACTAAAACCTTCCACTCATGTCTACTCGTCTCATTCTCATTTCCTTAAAAACGTACTATTCTCATTCTTCCACTCATGTTTGCACATGTTATTCTCATTTCAATAAAAAAAGTCTCATTGTCATTTCTATGAAAGAAAAACCTTGAATTCCTCACGCTTATGTAAGAGTGCAAGAAAAATATCCGTAAACTGCAAGATTAGCCAAAAACAATTAATCATAACAATTCCATTGTTTGGCATATGGCATATATGAAGAAGAAGATGGGTATGCTTAAAATTCTCACACCTAAACGAAGGACCCATTTATAGGACAATGCCACAAGGGTCTTTATGAAATCTTAGCAATGTCATGGCATGCTCAACTATCTCTTAACCTAGCTATGTTAGGCTCTACAACCATTGTTGTAGCTCATCACATGTACTTTATGCCTCCCTACCCATACCTAGCTACTGGCCATGGTACACAACTTTCCTCGTTCACACACCATATGTGGATTGGCAAATTTCTCATAGTCAGTTCTGGTGCACATAACCAATAAATTAGTATAGCAATATATGTATCTATCTATTATATACTAAAAGCACAATATGAAGAAAAATAAAAAAAATGTTCTAGAAAATCCCACAAATAAGCAAAACATCTGAACATATATCGCCAGGACCCTTAATTCTAAAAATAAAACTAACAGTTAGATCAAACTCATAGGAAGAAATGGACGGCATCACATGATCCACATCATATACGAAAACCACGATACAAGGTCCTTTTCAAGACCTCACATTGATTCACGTCATCAAAACTATTTTGTTTTTTCAATCTATAATTAAAGCCTCGGATTTAGTGAGAGATCCGCACTTGTATAAGCATGTAATCCCGTCTGATGGGAGATTGTGTCGTATAAGGAGGTGGATTACAAATTCAAAGTTGATCTGTAGTATGTTCAACCCGGATGTGACACACATGAAAATGCACGTCTATTGCAAGACTAGGACATTGCATGGCAAAACGTGCTCGACATAATATATAAAAGCTGGTTTGTGGTACATGTGAGTGTACTAATATATCAAAAGACAACTTATATATTGATATGAACCTAAAATGACTACTAAAACCTTCCTCGCATGTTCACAGTCTCATTAAAAAAAGGCTCATTACCATTCTCATGAGAGAAAATCTTAAATTCTGCACCCTTATGTAAGAACATAATCACAAGGTATGCTAGAAAATCTCACAAATAAACAATCATCTGCCGTACATTTGTGGTCCCGTAATTCTATAAATAAAATCAATAGTTTAGATCAAACTCATAGGAGGAAATGAAGATTGTGCCACATGAACCACATTATATACTAAAGGCAAAATATAGGGTTGTTTTAGAGGCCTCACACTAATCCACATCATCAAATTATTTTGATTGTTCGGTTTATAATTATCGGCTCAGATTTAGTGAGGGGTCCGCTTGATGGGAGTGTGTATTGTTGGAGACTGTGTCGTAGACGAAGGTGGATTGCAAATCCAAAGCTGGTCAATGGTATCTTCAATCCAGATGTGAGACAAGTCAGGCTGCACATCTCCCAGGGGAAAACGTGCTATGCATAATGTATACATTAATTTAAGCATGCGTACATGTGAGTATACTAATATATTTGAAATGGAACCATGTCAACCATTAGATTATATGAAGAAAATTGATATGTACTTAAAACAACTACTAAAACCTTCCGCTCATGTTTACACATCCGACTCTCATTTCATTAAAAAAACATGTCATTCTCATCCTTCCACTCATGTCTGCACATGTCATTCTCATTTCAATAAAAAAAACCTCTCATTCCCATTCTTATGAGAGAAAAACCTTGAATTTCACACACTTATGTAAGAGCACAAGAAAAATCTCCACAGACTCCAACAATAGTCAAAATAATAATTGTAAAGGCTCCATTGTTTGACATATGGTATGCGTGGAAAAGAAGGGCAAGCTTAAAATTCTCACAAGAAAACGTATATTTGGTCGGTAGTCGTGTGAACCCCTCTGTTTATCGCTATAGATCACAACCAATAGATATTTGTTGAAGTTAATACTTCAAACTTAGTTTTTCAAAACCATCGAAACCGATAGAATAGTGATCTTGCTTCAAAGACCTCGTCGCAAAGAACACAAATATATAAATTAAACATAAATTAAACTTTCAATCCAAAAGATAAAATATATTTAAATTTGGAAGTCGAATGAAAAAACATGAAAGTTAGGGTGGGTGAAGCACCCAATATCCGACGAAAGTATGCATGCAGTGGGCCCTCAAAATAATCAAAATCTAAACAATTGCAGGGGACTAGCCACCTTTTTGAATCCTGAGGAAAATCTGTGGCCGGCCAAAAGCGTGTGCAGGCCGCTAGCTGCGTGCCCGTTTGAAATATTAGGAGATCACATAGTATTCATGTTGCCCACGTCACGCATCTGATCCTTACGTTTCTCTGCTGCAATTTCCATGGACGCCGCATCTTTGTCGCACAATGCCGATTTCATGACGGATAACGAGCATGGATGCCATTATACATATTCCAGAACCAAATGAATCGATCCATTAGCCCCAACGGCCTATGCATCACAAAACAAAATGTTGTGCAACAACTGTATGATATATCCCCGTTGTTCAGGACCAAATAAGTGCCGGGAGGAACAAATTCATCTGCCTGAGGATTGGTTTTAACGAGGTGAGGGAGTCTACCTGGATGCCACATCCAACTAACCCACCACTACTAGGTAGTAGCATCTTCCCCACCACACATGGTGCGTCTGCACTCACACAAAAGCTATGCCAACAATCAATTGCATTTCTAGCTCTGACGATCCAATTGAGGGGGAGCTAACTGATGTGGCTTTGATTAGTCGTGATCGATTACAGAATCCCTTCCTGCAATGGAAAGAGAGGGTGGAAAGTGAGTAGTGACTAGAGAGAGCAAGATAAGGTTAGCATAATGGGGTTCGAGTAGTGGGTGTCCCATTGAAGCTCACTCCGGGTGTTTTGTAGTAATCAATTGAAAAATGACACCGCCTCTTTTTCTAGTGTCAAAAAGACGTCTTACATTTGGAAAAAGAGGGAGTACTAGATTACACGGGGCTCGAGCTTCATGCACCTGATTTGCCATTCGTCATGCACCGGTGAGCATTTGACACGAAAGGATTTCCCTTTTTTCCTTTTTTGGCCCTGCTATTTAGTGTTTTAGCTTTACTACAGTTTAGTTTTTTTTTTGTACTTTTGGGGTCATTAGGCACTTGCGGGATTCTCCTGTCCACTAGTTAAATTATGTTCTCGAGCAGCCATTTGAGATCAGCATATGGTGCTCTCCTCGGAAAGAGAGAGGGAAAGGGGCTGCCATGATCTCAGGACGATCATGTTTTCGTGACACCTGAACAGACAAGGCGGAGAACTTCGGGCTGGCCTCGATCATGCATGGGTCCTTTTCATCCGGTGTGCGGGAAATGTATCACCGATGGTAGGTTGACAACTCTCTCCACATACACTGACATCTCTAATGATTGGCATGTTACATAGTACCGTACTACTGTTTTGTTTAGTTTGTCTTTATCATAAAGTTAGTGGCTGTCCGATGAAGTTACTGTCGCGAGGCATGAAAACCGCGGGTTATCCTACTTTTCAAAATAAATAAACATCCTACTACTACTGTTTTGTTGTGCTTGTGTTGTGTTCTGAGACAAGAAAATCTACACTAGTGAGCAGGCGCATCACTTAATCCTGATTCCATCTATCAGCACCTCTAACCATTCTCCTCTTTTCGGCACTAACCAAAGATCTGACCAAAACCGACAGCATCGGTACTGCCACTGTTCTCAGTGCAGATCTAGCAGGGGCACCGTAAGCAACATCCATCCACGCCCTACATACACGATACACCTGTGTGGATTCAGAGCCGCCTAGTGCATGTAAAATTCCACGCGCCCACTGCTGCCTCAGGTGGAGCTGTCTCATAAGGATATGTACGAGTGCACTGTATCACAGTGACATCCCCATGCATCAGGTGCTAGCCACTTCATCACCATCACCGCAGCTATATATCCCACGGCACCACCGCCTTTATAAAGACAGGCTCGACCTGCACTTGGCGTTCTTCTTCGACTCGATCAGTTCTTCTGGAGTGAAACCTGATCAGCTCGGGCTATAGGCTTGGGCATGGCTGGAGGAGGTGAGACGATGGGGCTGGGAGGGCTGTGGAGGAGGTACGCGCCGCACAACATGATGATCATGGTGCAGCTCTGCTACACCCTCATGTACTTCGTCACCGAGGCCGCCTTCAACCGCGGCCTCAACCCCTACGTCTACGTCACCTACCGCCACCTCCTCGTCGCCCTCCTCCTCTGGCCCTTCGCCTACTACCACGAGAAGTACGTAATAAGCTCGGTCTTGCCTTCATCAATTACACCACGAAATTCAAACTTAATTTGGCGATGTGATGATGAATCTGTCTTCATTTTTGGGCGCCAGGAAGCTGAGGCCCAAGATGACCTGGATGCTGTTCCTGGAGATCTTCGTGCTCTCGCTTCTGGGGTAAGAAGTACCAAGGATGACTGAGAAAAACAGTTCATATATATGTAATATGTAGGTTTCATCCTGAGAAAAATAAGTGGAATTGTTGCAGGGTGAGCTTGACCCTGAACATGTACTTCGCGAGCCTCAAGTACACGTCCCCGACCTTCGTCACCTCCATGGTCAACACCGTCGCCTCCATCACCTTCGTCATCGCCATCGCGCTCCGGATGGAGATCGTGGACCTGCGCAGCGCGCGGGGGCTCGCCAAGGTGGCCGGCACCGCGGTGTCCTTCGCGGGGGTCACCACCATGACGCTCTACAAGGGCGCGGCCATCGCGAGCCCCTGGAGGGCGCCCGTGCGCATCCCCGGCGCCGGCGGCGACGCCCCGCACGACGCCTGGCTCAAGGGGTCCCTCCTTGCCGTCGCCAGCTGCGTGTGCTGGTCCGTCTGGTACATCATGCAGGCCACGTCCGTGAAGCGCTACCCGGCGGAGCTGTCGCTGACGGCGTGGATGGCCACCGTGGGCGGCGCCCAGTCGGCGGCCTTCGCGGTGCTGCTGCAGCACGAGAGGCGGGACTGGCTCGTCGGCTTCGGCCTCAACTTCTGGTGCATCATCTACTCCGTACGTGCCTGCTCTTGTCTCAGATCACCGTCTGTCTTTCTCCCCCGTCCATGCCACTCGCCATGCATGTAGCCAGCGCATGCTCATGAACTGCGTGCGTGCACGAACTCGCAGGGGCTCGCGTGCAGCGGGTTCACGGTGTTCGCGCAGCTGTGGTGCACGGAGAAGAAGGGGCCCGTGTTCGTCACCATGTTCAACCCGGTGTCCACCATCATGGTGGCCATCCTCGCCTACTTCATCTTCGGCGAGAACCTATACGTCGGAAGGTACGTACGTAGTACATCTGTACATGCGTGCGGTGCATGCTCGCTCGCTGCTCCTCAACTAAATCGGTGCTCCGTTCCGGCATGGCATGGCAACCTGGACACAACATTGGCATGACTGCCCGCGCTCTCCTGCGTGCGTGCGTGCGTGCGTGCACCAACTACGTGTGTCTGTCTCACCGGCTTAATTAATAATTACTGTTGCTTGTTAATTAACCGGCATGCCTGGCCTGCAGCATAATCGGGGGAGTGGTGGTCATCCTGGGCCTCTACATGCTGCTCTGGGGCAAGGACAAGGACCAGGAGTACAACAACGCAGGAGCAGCGGCGAGCGGCGAGGAGCAGGCCGGCGAGCCCGGTCTGGACTGCGAGAAGCAGCGACAGGAGGAACAAGAGGAGACCAAGACGATGAAGTAGGATAGGAGGAGGGGTCAGAATTGCCTGCCATCCGTGTGCATGCCCAGCGCCGGTCCTGGAGTTTCCGAGGCCCCGGGGCGAACTCAAATGAATGGGCCCAATGACAGCATTGGAGGGAAAAAAATATTCCATACTTTGATAAAAAATATATTGCAAAGCTATAATAAACAACGGTAATTTTTCTTGGTAAATAACACTCCAAGTCATAAATAACAATTTCATACTGTAGGTGTAAATCAAACATCATAGAAGTCACAGAGCATAAAAAAAAAGAAATGACATACTAGCGAACCTCCAAGCCTCCAGTAATCATGAGAAACGGCTCCATGCATTTTTTGATGCAAAATCATTAAATGAAAATGTCAAGATAAATGTAGTCTGTTTCAAACACAAGATTTTGTTCCCTTGTAGGCCCTTTTTATAATCAGAATATCTCTTGATTTATTGTCAAGAGTGTCCCAGTTTCTAGGTTCATAGATATCAAAAGGAGAAAATCCTTGTTCATCTACACTTGTGGGATTCTCACGGTCACTCAAAATATTTATAGGAGTCCCATATGGGCATTGTTTCCTCAATTGTGGTCTCATTCTCAGCGGGTTGTTGTTGGCCTTGTGCCGAGAAGTGTATGGATGAACCTGGGTACATATGAACCCATTTTGAAAAACACATTTTGCAATGTCAAAAAATTCTAAAACAATGTGCCCGCGGACATCTCCATATTCTATGTGTGTGCAGAATTTCACGGAAAAACAACCTTTTTTGTAGCATGTGCAACAAAGACAAAATTTTATACCGTGAAACGCTATTTAGAAGCAGTTGTCTTTTTTACTGAGACAAAACAAAAATACTTTTTTACACAAAACTTTGTACCGTGGACATACCTTTGCGAACATGTATGCATAATTTTTTTTTGAATTTTTGAACATTACAAAACGCGTAAAAAATACATTTTTAAAAAGCGGGTGCAGATGCCCCCGTGTGCAGATCGTCCACTCTCGCCTTGTGCCCCCCTTTTCTCTGAGCAACTGGCCTTGTGCGTGCGTGCCTGCCTTTAGGCCTCTTGGCAGTTGGGCTTCTGCTGGAGATAGGCCTCCCTGCCTACAGATTTTTTCTTTTTTATTTAGCATTTCATCAAGGCCCATATCTGTATATACACTGCAGCACTAGGTCGGGGCCCCTAATTTGGCTGGGCCCCGGGCCGTCGCCCCTGCTGCCTTGGCCCAGGGCCGGCCCTGGTTGCCGTCCAGAAGAAGTTGCCTGCCTGAACCATGACTCTGCAGTTGTTATACTTTTTTCTTAAAGAAAAAACACAATTCTGTAGTTGATCGTGGCAAAATTCTTTGACATGGATCCATCAACGGGGCATCCATCTGAACTTTTGTTGCAGCATCAGTATGTGTGCTGTTTTTCAGCGAAATGTGGCGTATCTCCGGCACAAGAGTTATTTACTCAAAACGACCACACTTAAGACTAGGGTAACAACTTCATACCACATTTGAGCCAGGGCATAAAAAACCACCAACTTTGTGCCTAACAAGTAACGTGGAGCACTAATGATCGGCTGAGCTCAGGCTGGTCATAGTGGGGAGTAACTTAGACTAGTAACATACATATGTTACTAGTCTATGTTACTACCTTCATAGTGGGTAGTGTCATAGGTGTGGTAACATAGTTGTCTTCATTTATTACTTTGTAGACTCATTATGCATTGGAAACCGCTATGTGATGGTAACATATTATGTTACTCTATTTGCCTCTCTCCTCATTAACTACTTGCCACATCACCATTTTTGCTTATGTGGCATCTATGTTACTACCTATGTTACTCCCACTATGACCAGCCTCACATAAACAGCGAACTTGACAGGTTGGGTCCACCAGTCAGGCTGAGTTGGCATGCATACGTGGACAAATATGCCAAGCTGGACATGGGTCCAACCTGTCAGCCTCCCATCTTTTTTCTTCTTCCTCCTAGTCTCTCTCTTTCACCGTACGCCGCCGCTGGGTAGTGGAGGCCGGAGGGCTAACTTCCCCTTCCTCTCCGCCCCGTCGCCTGATCCAGCGAGGGAGCCGCGCGGTGCGTCCCCACTACTGCCTCTGGTCACCAGATCCCGTCGGCCGCGCCGTTCTTCCTCGGCTTTGGCGTCCACGTGCAGCGGCTGGGGCCATCATGGGGAGCAGCACGCTCGTCCCCGGCGACTAGGTGCGGCGCAGCCGCGCAGGAAGGATGGCCCCGACGTCCACGGAGGAGCACGGGCTGGCGGCGCTGGAATTGCTGTGCACGGCGGCCGGCGACGCCTCGGCGTTGCCCAGGAAGGCTCCGGTTGTGCCCGTGCGGGCGTGTGCCATGGAGGGCTTGTCCGGCCGCGGCCACGAGTGCGCCATTGGCATCCTGGCGGCCATCTACGACGGGGAGGCCATGGACGCGTGGTGGGCGCGGTGCAGGGCGAGTACCGCGCGCGTGGTCGGCTCAAGGTCACCTAGCTCCTCCGCGCGTCCTCCGCTGAGCACCGCTCGCTGCCTTGTGCTCCGGCTGTCGCCGCCTCACTGGCGCGTGCATTCGTGGTCGGGAGGTGGACATGTTGGCTGTGCTTAGTCCATGAACAGGCAGGCTGGCACATAGCTCGGGAGCGAGTGCTGCCAGCTCGTGGGCGGGCTCGCCGCATCGAGTGGTCCATTTGCTCCAAGCTCATGGGCATGCCTGCAAGAATGAGCTCCCCGCTGGCCGCCGGAAAGCTGTTTGATGAAATGCCCCATAGAAATAGATGTGAAGAAGATGACCATTTTACTCATTGGCAGCCGGGGCCCGCATAGCATTTGCCACATCAGTCGGTCAAAGTTTTGGTCTTCGCCACGTCAGCCCGAAATGTGGGCCCAAGATGTCAGAACAACTGTTTTCGCGAGCTTATGAGACCATCAGTGCTTCGTGTTACTGGTTAGGCACAAAATTGGTGGTTTTTTGTGCCCTGGCTCAAATGTGGTATCAAGTTGTTATCCTAGCCATAAGTGTGATGGTTTTCAGTAAATAACTCCCGGCACAAGCCCAACTCATGTATGACAAAACAACATTAACATATATAGGCATTTCCTATTCGGCGCTTCGAACGCCGGTTACACTACAAACTAAAACCTGCGCACAACCCCTCCTTCACTTGGGCTCATCCCAAGCAAACGACCTGCGCGACGCTGTTTGCATTTTTTTCGGGAATGAGACAGCAGATTTGGTGGAGATTCTCTAAGCTTCGAAACTGTTTTGGGAAGCTTCTAAAAGATTATTCCTGGGTTTTTTTCATGGTCTTTTGAATGGTCTTCATTTGGTTTTTTTTCTTTTTCTTTCATTTCCTTTTTTTTTTCTTTTAACTCTTTTCCAAATGCGTGAACTTTCTTTCAAAATCAGTGATTTTTTCCAAAGATGTGAACTTTTTTTTCAAAATCCATGTTTTTTTTCAAATCCGAGAACTTTTTGTTTCAAAATTGATGATTTTTTTTCAAAATCGATGAAGTTTTTGTAAATTTTTTATATCTTTTTCAAAAACTATGAATTTGGTTTGAAAATCGACAAACTTTTTCTAAATCCATAAACTTTTTAAAAATTCGTGAGATTTTTTCAAATTTGTGAATTTTTCTTCAATAATGATGAACTTTTCCAAATACCTGGACATTTTTAAACTTTATGTTTTTTGAATTTATGAACTTTTTCCATGAATTTATGAATTTGTCTAAACTTTTATATAAAAGTTAACAGTCAATAACCGGGGCAGTGATCCATGGTCGTGGTCAAAGGTCAACCAGCAACTTTGTTTAGACTAGTCAATTGGAGAGACGCTGTTAGCGTCAAGCAGAGGAGCTTTCGCTGAAGGTAGATGCAGATGGGCCGGCCCATTTAAAGGTCAGTAGCTCGAGCGCGTGAAAATATGGCTAAAAATACCCCGCACGACCGAGAGCTCGAACACGCGACGTGCCACTCAGGAATTTTATAACCAAACCAGTCGAGCTGATAAGTTCTAACAATTTACAAGCAGCGCAAGAGCTTAAAGTACACGACAACTGTTGAAATTTTATGAACAATTCAAGAAAACCGAGGACAAAAGTTTGAAAATTCTGAACAAAATTTGACAAATGAGAAACCCTCTTTAAAACAATGAACAATTTTTGAAATTCTAACAAACTTTTCAAACGTGAATAATTCTTGAAAAGTTGAAGAAAAATACGAAATTCCAAAAAGATGAACAATTTTTTAAATATACATTGAACATTTTTGTATTGTATGCTGAACAATTTTAAATATATACTGAACATTTTTGTGATATATGCCGAACAAAATTTAAAATTTAAAATATACATTAAACATTTCTGTAATGTACGCTGATTTTTTTTGAGTTTTGAACAAAATTTAAAAACCATGATTTTTTTACGAAATCATGAAGAAAATACGAATTTTAAACTTTTTTGAAAACAAATGACGAACATTATAACAAAAAAGGATAAAATAAGAAGAGAAGTAAACAAGAAAAAGAAACGGAATAAAAAAACTGGAAAACGAGAATAAAGGAACATAAAAAAACAGAAAACCGGCAAAGAGGAAAAAAAGGAAGACACCTGTTTAGGGAACCTTCTAAAAGGTTCCCAAAACCGGTTTGCTTGGGAGTGCATTAACTCGCGAAGTGGGCCGGCCCATGATCCCAAGCTTCAGCGAAGCCACGTCTCCTTGACGCACGCGAGCGTCAAATAGGAATCACCAGTCAACCAGCAAGCGCTCGTGTATAATGGGCCGACCCAACTTCCATTCATGTGAGCACCGACTGGCGTACTGGCGCACAAGGCATAAGAGCAACTAATTAATGAGTGCTCCTTCAGGAGCCCCGCAGCAATCAGCATCACATGGCGCGCTCCCAGCCGCCCGCCACCTGTCACACTCTAGATGCTTCCTCCGGATTTTATTTATTTTTTATTTTTTCACACGCGTTTTCGGCTTTTTAAATGATTTTTTTAGTTTTTTT